ATGAAAGTTATTGTTGTTTTTAAGCGTTTATTAGCAAGTTGGAACGACCAACATGGCCGCCATCTATTCAAATGGGGGTAACCGCTGGAATATTCTTGGCTTCAATTTTACTAAAAGAGATGCGCTATCTAGTGTATATATAAGATATCTATGACCTCCCCACACCTTCCCTTCCCGGCCATGTTTTTGTCAACGCGAACGTCAGATTGGGACTGGATTAAAAATATTCGGGTGACGTTCGTGTTGGAAAAAACGTCGCTTGTTTAAGCCTGGTTTCCATATGGTCGTAAAAATAGAGTCACGATCTTTCTCAACGGCCAGTTTATAATAGTTTATACCTGTAAACCACATATAAATCATAAGCATTCTCTAGTTCTAATCACTCCGCGTATTTTCAGTTCTAAAATGTTGTATTTCGGTTGATGAGAAAGATCGTGACTCAATCTTTACGATGTTACAATCTTACTGTTTGTAACAAGTTGCTATACTATATTGCTGCAATCAACTTGCTAACAGACAGGTTCAGATTTGACTTCCACTACCACCACCGCTACCTTAAATGTGTTACGCATGCCCAGTAACTGCAAGAGCGTGAGGAAATCGTCGCATGTTTTTGTTTTGGGACCGTAACAAAGCGATTTATGGTCGTCGGGAGAAGTCTAATCTGAACATGTCTAAACAGTCCGTCGCGACCGCTACCAATGGAGCCGTCAAAGGTAGCGGTAGTGGTAGTGGAAGTCAAATCTGAACCTGTCTAACAACTTGTGACGTGCAGACGATATCAGACTTGTTGGAACAACTTGTTGCGAGTCTGTTGGTCTCATCAACCTTGTTCCAAGATGATATAAACAACTTGTTCCAGACTTGTCAACAACTGGGAACAAGCAGTGCGAACACATCTTGTTGATAAGCTGTGAGATTTTTAGACGTGTTCATGATAGTCATCTATATTTATGGAGTTTTTTCTTACAGTACGATATGGCATCTGTAATAGAAGAACAAGTGCAAAAGCAACTGAACAGCAGCCCTGATCGAGAACGAAGCAAGAAAAAATCATCAAGACTGCCGTTCATGAAGAAAGGATGGGGATGGTAGAAACCCCCTGTGTCCTACAAGAACCCCTCTTGTCACACGTCCTACCCCTTCATACTATATTGAGTCCCCAGTGAGAGACACCATGAGTCCACCTATTGGATTAGGATTATAAGTTTAGGGATAGGATGAGTTAGGGATAGGTATTCACCTTGTGTATTGCTTTGTCCCTATGTGCCATATTCTACCCCAGCAACGTGTATAAATTACGTTCGTTTATAATTTATATGCGCCAGATTAGTTATTGCAAAATGTAGTTTTATAAATTTTTTTAAAAAGGAACTAGTGAAGATAATATATAGTTTCTTTATTTATGAATAATTTATGTTAAATATATTGTGTACAGTCACAAGTTGTCACAGGATTATTGTAGAAAAAATACAAAAAATTTTAAAATATGAAATTATTAAAAAAGAGGTGTATGCTTTAAAGATTGCTTCACTTAATAATATACTTGTAAATTGACATGATCTTTAGGAAAAGCCGGACTCAGTTGTTTCAAAATATTAGTTGTGAACTATTTAATATATTGTATTATATTAATACGAGTAATTTCCACTATGTAGGAGTGAAACTGTTAATAAACGATAAATGTATTTCATCTCTTGTTCTTGCATGACATTTAGCATAAAAATAGTGGCAGAAAGTCAAGGCATTTTTAGTACATTCGCCCCACTGGGCCCCTTCCTCTGCCCCACCACTGCATGAAGAAGAAAAATGGTCTATTGCCACAAAGCCAGGGCCCTAGAGTTTAACATTGAGTTTAACATTGAAAATAAGTTTAAAAACAAAATTTGTTGGTGAGCATACTTAAACTTATGTTGTGTTTGAATGTTTAGCATGCAATTTATTACAAATTTCACCATTAAAACTTTGTTTTGAGATTTTTTTAAATGTTTTCTCAGACTGCAGGAAATGCTATTTCAGAGACCCAAATTTTAAAACATTCCTGGGGGGGGGGGCATGCTCTCAGACCCCTAGCCAACTCGTGCCTGAGGTACTCGGGCAAAATGTTCACATGTTTTAAAACATTTTTTATCAGTAAAAAGTCCTTGTTTTTATGAAACGTTTCACGAAAACGTTTTTGGTCACTTTTGTAAACCCTCGTGTTACTACTAAATATGTGTGTCTTCCACTGAAATAAATTTTCAAGTATTCTGAAATCAATAAAAATCCCTGGGATATTGCTGTAAGACCTTTTCTCCAAGTGCCGGCTCTACAATGCAAGAAATACCATTTCTGAGACCCAAATTATTATTATTTCCCAATTATTTAAACAAAATTCTGGCGGACCCTGGGTTTTGTTTAGATTCCCTCCCTACGCACTGAATTGGTGCTTGATGAAGCCACCTATGCCCATGCATTTGAAACCAATATTTTAATTGCATTTAAAAGCCGATTTAGGCCATGTTTACATTGGAATCGGATACGTTATTTCAATACCCTGGAAATGAGAACAATGGGATTTATAAGCTAAAGTCCTTATAAGACAACAAAGTAATGAATGAGGGTGGGAAAGGGTTTTTCGTGAGCCGTGAAAGGTCAATATTTGTTCGCGTGAAATGTGAAATGCTTGATTTTAGTGTTGTGAAATGTGATTTGTTCTACAGCCGTGAGCCGAGCTTCATGGCGCTGAGGACAAGGTTCCTCGCGCTGAGGACAAGGTTCCTGGCGCTGAGGACAAGGTTCCTGGCGATGAGGACAAGGTTCCTGGCGATGAGGACAAGGTTCCTGGCGCTGAGGACAAGGTTCCTGGCGCTGAGGAGAAGGTCCCTGGCGCTGAGGACAAGGTTCCTGGCGCTGAGGACAAGGTTCCCGGCGATGAGGACAAGGTTCCTCGCGCTGAGGACAAGGTTCCTCGCGCTGAGCACATGGTTCCTGGCGCTGAGGACAAGGTTCCTGGACTGAGGACAAGGTTCCTGACGCTGAGGACAAGGTTCCTGGACTGAGGACAAGGTTCCTGACGCTGAGGACAAGGTTCCTGGCGCTGAGGACAAGGTTCCTGGCGCTGAGAACAAGGTTCCTGGCGCTGAAGACAAGGTTCCTGGCGCTGAGGACAAGGTTCCTGGCGCTGAGGACAAGGTTCCTGGCACTGAGAACAAGGTTCCTGGCGCTGAGGACAAGGTCCCTGGCGCTGAGGACAAGGTTCCTGGCGCTGAGGACAAGGTTCCTGGCGATGAGGACAAGGTTCCTGGCGCTGAGGACAAGGTTCCTGGCGATGAGGACAAGGTTCCTGGCGCTGAAGACAAGGTTCCTGGCGCTGAGGACAAGGTTCCTCGCGCTGAGGACAAGGTTCCTGGCGCTGAGGACAAGGTTCCTGGCGCTGAGGACATGGTTCCTGGCGCTGAGGACAAGGTTCCTGGACTGAGGACAAGGTTCCTGACGCTGAGGACAAGGATCCTGGCGCTGAGGACAAGGTTCCTGGCGATGAGGACATGGTTTCTGGCGCTGAGGACAAGGTTCCTGGACTGACGACAAGGTTCCTGACGCTGAGGACAAGGTTCCTGGCGCTGAGGACAAGGTTCCTGGCGATGAGGACAAGGTTCCTGACGCTGAGGACAAGGCTCCTGGCGCTGAGGACAAGGTTCCTGGCGATGAGGACATGGTTCCTGGCGCTGAGGACAAGGTTCCTGGACTGACGACAAGGTTCCTGACGCTGAGGACAAGGTTCCTGGCGATGAGGACAAGGTTCCTGGCGCTGAGGACAAGGTTCCCGGCGATGAGGACAAGGTTCCTCGCGCTGAGGACAAGGTTCCTCGCGCTGAGCACATGGTTCCTGGCGCTGAGGACAAGGTTCCTGGACTGAGGACAAGGTTCCTGACGCTGAGGACAAGGTTCCTGGACTGAGGACAAGGTTCCTGACGCTGAGGACAAGGTTCCTGGCGCTGAGGACAAGGTTCCTGGCGCTGAGAACAAGGTTCCTGGCGCTGAAGACAAGGTTCCTGGCGCTGAGGACAAGGTTCCTGGCGCTGAGGACAAGGTTCCTGGCGCTGAGGACAAGGTTCCTGGC